GAAAGCATGTCAGTCAATTTAGCACCTATTCTTCTTCCGTAAAAGACTTTTTATAGCTCTAGCTCAATAAGACTTAGCATTACTACCTATAAAAAGCAATGCTTGATAAAGGCCCCACAAAAACTGAACATTCCGTTTAATAAGCCTTTTTACAACAACAATGGCTATTATGATGCTACTATCCATCATCTGTTACTTAATGCCTATCAATCGAGATGCATCCTATATTATACCCACAACCATCTTCTAGCATACCTTCCTACTATGGTTTTTGGAGCCCACCAGCAGCCGAGCGATAAAGTCGCTGAACACTGGTACTTCGGTCCGAGGTTCGAATCCCACAAACAGGCTGGCAGCATAGGCGTTTTCGTGGTTTTCCCCATGCATAACGTGCATACGAGCCAGTTTCCCTTAGAAAGTCCTCCAGGAAGGCATCTCTCCCTTCAAGGCAGTTAGCCCTTGAGTGCTTTGCTGTAATATAATAAAACCAACCATTAAAAAAAACTATCAGGTTTCTTTCTCATGGGCACAATTCAGTTTCTCCATGATGCACTTTGGGTGACATTCTTGCTAATTAAATGGTTAACTGACAGTAGGATTTGGCCATTCGCAATGAATGCATTAAGTTGCCAGTGTCTGGCCATTTGAACGAACAACTTTCTTACTGGTACACCTTACCCTTTCCAAGCCTGATAAATTAACATATGAATCTAATTGATGAATCTAATTGCAAAAGAATCCATCTCATCACAAAACAAAATACTGGATGTTGCAACACTGTCCAATTTAAACAGATCTGATACCACTATAAATGTTTAGTATCACTAGTGCTCCTTGAACAGCATAACATATATAATTGGTCTTTGAAACTATACCCATATGAAATTCAAATATAAAGCCATAGTGTGGGCAGCCGCAGTTTGGCTAGGGGTGGATTTATAAAGTCATGAGCCTTTTCTGTGAACCCTTCACTTAAAGATAAAGGAATGCTTACTAGTTTTTTTAATTAATTACTCCACAGCTTTTACTATGAAGACATTTACAACCATATAAATACACTTTTGAGGAAAATCTCTCCTTTGCTACAAAACTGGGAACATACAACTTGCTTAGCATGGAGCATAGGTCAGGTTAATGGATTAAGACAGAGTAACTTAGAGATTATCTGCCTTCTAGCAGTGAAGCTTCGACAACATTTAGCTATAAGACATGATCCTATATACTCAAATAAGGAAAATACCCTTCTCTTCACTATACAGAATATATTCCAGTCACTTAAATGTTGCTCAAAGTCTGCAATAATACCATCTGTGAATCCGAACTCCACAGCAATTTTGCTGACTCTAAAGCTTTTCCGCAAATTTACTACTCTTCTCTAATGCAAAATCATCAAAATTATGTCTTTTGAGACATGCATAACTGACTCATTCTTTCACATTCAAAATCTGTACCAAATACAGATCATCAGTAATCTGTCTTTCAATTTGTCATGCAATCCCTAAACACAAAACCTGGAAATATGCTTATTCACCAGCTTTCTACTGTGCATATTTTAACTATGAAGATTAAAATAAGTTGATTTGTGAGATTTTTAAATAATCACTCTGCTTACTAATGTTTATTCTTAAGACAAACATTTTTTTTCACAATTCTAAAAATCAGTTTTCATTATACACCAAAATTCCCACAACCAGAAGTGCTTAATTCATAAGTAATGCTCACAATTTGTACTGAAGTTTGAATGTAAGCAAAGTTTTGGCTTTCAGAAAATTCCACAAGGCAAATTAACCGTTTGAGTCCGGCGAAGCGCTGTCACGCTTCACTTGTCGTATGCCAAAAATACAGCGCAGCACGATAGCGCTTCTCTTGTTTTGTATCGAGAATGCGAAGACGCTGCTGTTGGTTAGTATACTTTACGCAATTATTGAGAGCAGTTGTAGTGATATTAGTAGCAGTTGTATTATAAGAATTGGAAATTGTTTTCATTTTTTACCAAGCGTTATACTAATAATTACGAAATAACCCATGTCAAGTTCTGATTCATTTGAAAGTGACTATGTTATGAGAAGTGATAATGAAAAGTATAGTAATGACCTTGAAAGTGATAGTGGAAGTGACATCATCATTCGTTCTAAGAGATTACGAGTTATTAGTGATAGCAGCGATGATGATGATGAAGTAACTGAAAGTACCTCCGATTACGATATTATTGATGAGTTTCTACCCGTGGATACAATTTTTTTCGAACGAATCGAATACTTTTTCTGAAATACCTGGACCAAAGCATTCCCCTCCTCCTGATGCGAAACCAATTGAATATTTCAATAATTTTTTCCAATTTTCAATAATTTTTTTTCAAGTATACTAACGAACAGCAGCATCTTCACATTCTCGATACAAAACAAGAGAAGCGCTATTGCGCTGCGCCGTATTTTTGGCATACGACAAGTGACGCGCCCACTGGACTCAAACGGTTAAATGCCACTTTTTTCTTAAATGTATATAAATTGATAAAAAAAATTAGAATTGACGTTAGCATTTTCTGCACCTTCCCCTTTTATAATGGATCATGAATGTTTTTAAATTTTTTACATTAGATGAATCTCTGCTTTTCAATGTATATTGGGGTCTATTAATACTAATTCTGAATAGATGTGGTTAATTAACTTTGAAATGATGTGGAATGAGTAAAAGAATTTATTTGTCTGCAAAATTTCAAACATTGCATTTCAACTTAAATTCTTCTTGTAGCTAGCTTGTTTGAACTTATACTCTACGAAATAACACCTGTGGAGTTTTTTTGGGGGGAGGCATTAATTATTAAAGTAGTGGAAGTACCTACTCCAACTCATTATATACCTAAGCTCTACGGCATTGACTTTTAATCAGAAACTGAAAGCATAAAGCAATCCATTAATGCAGCAAAAAATGGATAAGTATTTGCTAACTTCTATAAAGAAAAGTAGCAAAACATTTCACCATCTGGCTGTGAAGAAGAACAAGACATTCCCTTCATCATTTCCATATTCAATAGATTCCAGAAATAAAATTCTAATAAAAGTAAGGTTTGGAGGTCAAAGATTTAGCCTTCAACAAGAATTCAGTCAAAGACAAGGAAGTAGTCCATATTTCAAAAAGAGAAGAAGGGTGTGAAAAGAGTCATTGTTCACTATGAAAACAATTTTTTAAATGAAGAAAATCAATCAAAATATGAAGAAAAAACAAACTTTGGCATAGTGTGGAAGAAGCAAATTATTTCAGCAAGTTCACTTGACAGACTTCCTCTTCCAAAAGTTTTGTGAGGAACAGATGGGCCACCTACTTTTGTTAAGAAAAAGTAAACGATGGGAACACAAATAAGTGCATAGAAACATTTAATCCATGAAAAAAATATAGCAATAACGCAAAGAAGCCAAGACAAGTCAAAACTCAGGAAATCTAAATCGGAGCTTATGACTTGATAAGTTAGTCCCTTTCACTGCTCTATTATAGGCTCACAGCATTTCCATTGTCAAAGGCTAAATTAACGGTCTGAATCTTTGAGAGCAAAATTCTACAGTAAAAACAATACCTAGGGGCAGATTATTGGAAATAATGACATATGTGCACTTTGAAGTCAAACAGATTACAAAAATTACAAATTGATTCACTTGCTCTTGCTTAGGAGTTGTAGAATATTTTTATTAAGAATTGTTTACTGTGTTATAAACCAGACGAAAAGATTGCAACTGATGAACCTTTCTTCCCTACAAAGGTAAGATACCTTATTGCTCAGTATATGTCACAGAAAATTAAATTTTGACTTTTAGTTGATGTAAAAACAAAGTAAATGGATAATCCTTACCTTAAAAAAGATGAAAGGAAACCAGGCAAAGAAACATTTGGCAAGCCTACTGTTCATCAGCTGATTGAGCCCTTTTGTAATACTGGAAGATATGTTACAACGGAAAATTTCTTTACTTTGAATTTAGTTAAAAACTCAGGAATCAAGGAATAAGCCCAATTGAACAAAAAAATATATCTTTCGAGTTATGCAGTACTGACAGATCTTTGATAAAGAAACTAATGGCAATGGAAAAATTATTTTTATCTTAGATGTGTTTGATCAGTTATGAGAAAACTGCATTTCCTCAAAGAATCTTCTTACTCCCAGAAGAAGCTAGAGATGTTCTGCATATAAGCATCACCTGTGTTAATTTAAACAATGTAAGAAAAATAAAACTGTAACAAACTGTTTGTACAAAGTGCAATAAATACGGGGGTGGGCATTGCACAGGGAGAATTAATAAATAAATCATTTGTAAAGACAAATTCTGTAATTTATTTCACACCAATACTCTAGATGCTTGTATTTTATTAAAACATAGGAAATATTTCATTCTACAAATATCTAGACAGACAAAAAAATTGTGAAGCATTTATAAGATTAATATTAATGATTTATATAGTAAATGAGAAAATTGTGCCATTCAATTCTATATGATAAAAAAATGAGTATTTGTAACACTGTAGCAAAAATCAGTTTAATAATCTAAATTACAACATAATTTACCTAAAAAATTAAATACTGCAAGATTTACAGCATTCAAAATGACAACTAGTTAGAGGTAAACTGAGAATGCTATAATGCTAGTGTTAAATAACAGCAATTTCAAACAAATTAATATGCACAGAGTATAAACTTATGAAAATGCAACAGTAAGAAATTTTAAGTGTCCTAAAACCTAAGAATGCAATACTTATGTCTATCTGAGAATGCAATACTCAGGTCTACCCAAATATATTATCTTAGATAGCTATTAGATAATATAACAGTACGAATTTGTGATACATAGATAATTTTATCCAATTACAGGATACAGTAATCGTTACATTTTGCTCCAATTTTTAGTTACAAAAACTTCATACGTAAGTAAAACTGCTTAATAAAAGATGAATTGGTTTGATAATACAATTAAACATTAGTTTCAAAGTTCACAGATTATTATGAACACTCTCACCTGCTATGGAAAGAATTGATATCAAACTGGTGAATGTCCCGCTTGTATTCTACAAAGGGAAAACAGCATACCTTTAATAAGAGTTCAATAGCATTTCACATAGATCTAACAAATAACTTTACAGCAAATAAACTCCATAGGACTAATTATTATAGAAATTATTGCTACAGAATTTTCACAATTGGTTACATTACACAAAAAAAAAAAAAAAAAATTATGTTTATCATGAAATGTGCAGCAAAATATTAATACAATGCCAGCGGTTATCAAAGTTTTAGCAAAATTAAATAAAATATGCTATAAAGAGGTAAAAAGAAGCTATTCACTACATATTTACAGCTTTTCACTTTACTTCTTTTCAAACTTTCAAAGCCATTTAGATATTTAACACTTTGACGGGTGGTGGGACGCCAGACGTTCCACCTTTTTTATCAGTTTTTTTATCTCCCAGATGAAAGCTGCAAAATTCCATTTAAAATACATACAATTACACCTTTTAGTTTTCTAAATGTGTAACAGATGGAAGCACGAGCATTCATTCATGGAAATAATGTTAAATAAAAATTCTTTGCAGGTCTAATTTTGAAGCAGTTTTTTTTCTTAATTTCTAATGCAACTTAAATCGTCTGAACAACAACTTTTGGTGTTAGAATGAATATTTTTACGTGAGAGTTTCCTTTTCTATAAATATTATTATTTGAATTCATATATTTTAATTAAGAATGGTTGAAATTAAAAGGCAGGACCAAATATATCCCACCGCACCTGTAGGAACTGCTGCTACTAGATGGCAGCACTGTTCAAATATTCTTAAATTCAAGTATCATGTTCGTTTTATACGTTGATAATGCAAATTTAAATTTTTTAATATATTGCAATGATGCTAAAACTTCAAAAATATTTAATATTCATTCCGAAAGAAATGAAAATATAACTCTGTAACATGAAATGTCATTGAATACTGAATGGATATGCGAGTGTGATTCACCATACAAAAATATCCTAAGCAGAGCGAAGAGAGGTGAAATGTAACTAAACATGACGGCCTTCTAAATACCTTCCTTTTCAGACCTGTAGCAAATAAAGTATGGGAGAGAAAATCTTCTCTGTTCCAAATCTATTACAAAATCATTAAAAAATATCTAAAAAGTCGTACAGAGAGCGATTTTTTTAATTATGTAATTAAAAATTTTTTTTTATTTTGCAAATATAATCAATATTTTCTAGATAATTATTCAAAAACATTTTTTATAACTATATTTATAATTTTCATTTGGTTGCTAAAACTAGCACTTTAGATAAGTATGTTAAGAGAATTTACACTGAAGCAAAGATACCATTTTACTGCTCTAAATGCGCAGTGGGACAAGTGGTATCACCACATCATGAATAACCTTAAAGGTTTACTTGGTTTTTGTTTTTTTTTTCCCTCCCCTCTCCCATGAAATAACGTATTAGGGGCTAATTATCTATGTGTAAAGTTATTTTTTCCAAAAAAAATTTTATTTATGCCCCAAACCTCAAAGGGTTAAAGGATCAATACAAAATTATTTTTATAGTTTCCTTAAGGAGCAATATGAATATATTGCTATAGAAAACCTGCTTTTAGTTGCTGTCCGAGTGTCATAGATGATGAGAGGTATCTTTTTCAAAAGTATTAATAAATTACAATAGATACCTGCATGCATGTACACATATATGCATAAAAAATAGGATGCAAAACTTAAACATTTCTGATTTGGGCCATAATTCCACAATATATCAACTGGAGACAGGTGCAATGTAGAACTCAAAAGATGAGGAAAGTATAGAAGCAAAAAAATGAATAGAATGCACATTCTGGAGATTCTGTCAATCCAAAAAGGCTTTATTGACAAAATGGCACTGGTACAGAAAACTGTCTGATCAAGAACAACAAACCTAAGAGCCTTAGTAAGTTATATGACCTCCCTGCAATGGTAGTGTAGCACTGTCTATTGATACTCAGCACCAGATTATCTAAAAGTTCTCGAGGTTAACAGTTCCCATTCATAAAGGAGCATCCATTTCAGTTGTCTGGTGTCCTCCGGAAGCCACTAGGCATCTCCCTAAAGTATCGCACATGTGTTTAATCACACCAGGAAAGCACACTGGGTTTATCAATTTTGTGGTTAACTTCACTTTCAGCTCCTCAACATCATGAGTGTGGCATGACTGTGTATGGCTATTCATAAAAACAAAGCCAGGACCAATGGCAGGAAAAGATGCATTTGGAGGAGGCTAATATGATCACAGTAGCGATTTCTGGCAAGTGAACCTCTTTCGAAAATAACTCTTTCCCTGATGTTAATGGGACGAAAGTACCTACCTCTCTCCATATCAACTTGTGACGAGAACCATTTCTAGGACTAAAATGTTTCTCATTGGTAAAGGACAATTCCACTGATCAGCTGTCCAGTCTGTGTTCTCTACACCACTTTAAATGGTGTTGCCGATGGGCTGCTGTCAATGGTATGCAGCATTCAGGATGACAGGCAACTAGGGAATCTTTATAAAGATGTCTAGCCATAATAAACCTGTTGTTTGGTTGCCATGCGCAACTGCTGAGAAATGTTGCCATATGTTTCGTTTCAATCTCTTTCCACCTGCCGGACGATATATCAGTCATCCATTGCCAGCGTTTTCCTTGGCCAACCACCTGCAACCTTTCTCACAGCTGTAATTATCACCTGGAAGCCTTAACAACCTCATGAAACAATGCTTTTTATCAGTTCCAAACTCTTGGGTGACAGACATCAAACTACACTCCTCCTCAAGCTTGCCAATCATTCTATCATGTGTAAAGGTGTCCTCATCTTTTCTTGTAGCCATACTGCATGCACAGTCTCACTTTCACTTGCAGAAGAAAGCCTGGAAATATGCTTTCTTCTTTATAAGTTGAACTGAGACACTTACTCTTCATGTTTTGCATGCTCTGATGTACCCTCTGATATCATACTGATGTTATTTACATGTGCATCACCTTTCTACCAAGTTGGCTTTTTACTGTACGGATCACAAAAAGCCCTTTTGAACAATTCCATTGTTGTATGTTGGAAAATGAATTTGTTGCTTAAGTTTTGCACACTTGAATACCCACCCAATTTGTTTATACAGCACGTGAAATGTATTCATTAGTAGATTCAGTTTAAATATATGGGCAGATTCAAAGTAGAGCAGGATGTTTCAAATATCAGTTTGCCAGAAACATACACCTTTCCTAATAATTTCTTGGCCTTTCCTCTATCAAAAGCAACAATTTACTTAACTAAACTTCTGTGTACAGACCTGTCCTTGCCCAAAAAAATAACACATTATACTTCAAGATTTAAAAATGCATAATTCCCATTTTATTGTTTTCAAAGTTATGCTTCTGTAGTTAAATATTTTTATCAATTTTAAAAAGATTACATTTTATATTTACATTCTTAACATTGTATTTCTACTATACTACTACTATAGGAAATATAATTTGAAAGCAATATCAACAAAGTTCAATGAAGCAAAATCTGCACAATACATAAGGTTTTGCACAGAACAAAATAAATAAGCAGATAGGTCATAATAGTCTTTCAGATACCTCCTGTGAAACATGAAATTAAATCAAAATGTATGAAATATTAAGCAATCAGCTTTGAACTATTACATTTGTCCCTGCAAAATGTAACAAATATTTCATAATAACCCTTACAATAAAGTGGACATACATACGCTGCATGAAGGACCTTAAACAAATACTCAGTTACATATTTCAATGTGCCTTGTTTCAAAGATATAAAATACTTTACATACATTCAGCAGAACAATACACATATGAAAAATAAGTGAATGATTGAATGATTTTAACAAAACTACATCCCCTATGAAACAAGTAATATACTATGAACAAATGTGAAAAAATCAGTAGCAATATTTCAACTGCACGTAAAAAAATGTTCAACCAAGACAGCTAATGTGATAGTAGAGAATGAAACAGGCTTACTGGTTCATAGCAAGTGAAAAAAGCAGTCAAAATAAGTAGAAATGAACTAAAATGCCTGAAATTAACCTAAAAAAAGTGATGAAAGTCTAAGGATCTAATTTTAAAAAATCAATCTTAAATACAATAATTTTTATCTTTATACAAAGAAAAAAGGTAGCTCCTTTTAAGGAAATCAATAACTTCTAAATCTTTTCAATGAACCTACCTAACAAAAACCATTAAATATAAAAAAGGAACTACACTAAAAACAATCTGAAAGTCAGTATTTTTTTTTTTTTAATTTGTAATTCAGTGAACCTACAACAAATGGTAGCACAATTAGAATCAAAATGCATGCTACTAGGAAGCAGTTTAAAAATTTTATTATGTAACTTTTGTTTTCTTTTTTTTTCATTACGTGGCAAAATACATTGGAATCCTAGATGTATGACTGCATCTGAATTGTCACTTAGCATTAAACAAACCTGTTTACAATCATTATTCTTAACATGAAAATGCGGGCAAGAGTTATATTATGTGATATTTATGCAGATCCAGATTACAAAAATATCTTATTTTACGCCTTATTCCCACTTACTGGATTAAAGTTATTTCTATTAGGAACAGTTATAAAAATCTCCAATCCTGGCACCTTTTTTATTGAAAACACTAGAAGTCGTGAACTAATACCATACTTGCCAACTTATGACAATCAAAAATCAGATTTTTTTAAGAAATCAGGAGATTTTTCACAATGTTAAAAAGACTTTTTAAATGATAAAAATACAGTTTTTAAAAATGAATTAACTTTAAATAGTTACTAATTCTTAAATGCGAGCAACACAAAAATACCTTGCACATAAAAAACATTTTTATTACTTGCATCGTTAAGGAAAAAAAAAATTTAATCAGTTTTCGTACAAATGTTATAAACACTGGCAGATTTTGCTTTCATTAAGAAAGAAATTTCATAATTTTGTTCATAGAAATTGCCACGTAGGCCTGCTTTCGCAAATAAAAGTTTTTCTAATGTGTCATCATTAATATTGGATCTAAATTTAGTCCTCGTTTTCGCAACAACACTGAAAATCCTGTCACACTCCGCATTATTATGGGGAACTGTGAAGACAGCCAACATAATTCTAAACAGTTCACTACATTTTAAAATTCCATCAGCACCTTTCAGTTTTCCAATTAAACTCTACTAGGTGTCAATCCTAGCTGATTTTATAACTTCATCCATGTTTTCTAATTGTAAACTGCAAAATTGGGATTGCAATATATCAGTGGCAACATCAATATCAATATCATCATCATCTTTCATGACTAAATGAAGTAACACAGGAAATCTGTTCAAAAAGTACCATATATCAGAAAAAGACGCATTTGCTAGAGCAGAAACATCAGCAACTTTAGCATGCCAAATCACTTCATCGTTGACTGGAAATTTATGTCGTATGTAATCACATACTTGACAGAAGTAACTTCTAACATGAAGATAAAACTTATGTTTTGTCTTCTTCTGAAAGTTCTTCCACTACTTTTGTAGTGGAAGAACTATATTACCAAATCTTCATCTACTATTACCAAATTTTCATCTTTCTTCTGATTTTCTATTTCACCATAAATCGCATCATATATAGAATTACAAAACAAAACAGACTGGTTTTACAAACTTTGATAAAATGTCTTTAAAGAGATCATAAATCATTCATTGCAAAACATGAATTCATGGAATTCTGCTTAGTAAAACTGTGTTAAGAACATCGAATGATGGCAAAATGAATTGTAAAAAAAAAAAGCAAAAAGCTTTGTTAAGGTCTGAAGAAAAAAACATAAATATTCATTCTTTACAAGATAAACTTGCAGTAATAGGCAAATGTTTCGTGTGTTGATCAATTTTTTTTATTTTGAGAGAAATTTGTATCAGCTTTAAGCTTATATTTTGCAGTATTATTTTGAGAACTGTCAGTTGAATTGCTGAATAGTGCAGAAATTATTTTTCTCAAACCTATTTTTAACAATGGAAGTAGTAACTACATATCCATTTACTTTTAAGTATTTTATAACTTTCAATAGAGCCTTTTATCTAAACTCTCGAAGCATTTACTTCTTCTTTAAAAAATGCAAGAAGTGGGTTCCATTGATCGAGGATTCTAGATAAGCATTTCTTTAAAGACAGCCAGCGTGTACACACGTTTCAAAAATTTTCTTATTTCAGTATTATGCAGCTGTTGGAACTGTTTCAATTTTTCCTTCGTTTTAGAACTCCTTTCAAGATAATAATAAATATCAACAATGTGTGCATCCACATTTATTGGTAAATAAAGCTGCCCCTTTTTCAGCTGCTAAATTTAAAAGGTGACAGGTGCACCTCATAATCTGAAAATCTGAATTTTCCTTCTTAAGATGCCTGCAACACCAGTCTTCCAAGCCTACCAATAGTGGTACATTATCGGCACCAAGTGCTAAGCAATTATCCAGAGGGCCTGCATTTTCTTTTAAAGTTTTAATAATTAGCTATGCTATATTAACACCTGTCGTTTTTGTCGTCATCCTTCTAAAGTGGGGACAGAAAGTAAACTACACTCAATTTCTGAAGACTCTGGATTAAAAAAAAGAAACAATTGGATACAGTTTTGAATCAGTATTATTGATTCCATCCATAGAGATGCAGAACGGAGTTGTTTTAATGCAATCAATAACTGAAGATTTATTTTTCAAACCCATTTTTTTAACAATTGCACGTGTTTTGGTCCTTCCACTTGAGTATTTCTTAGCAATTTCACTATTGAGAAACATTTTTCTAAATAAAGCTGCAGCATGATCCGACGCATTCAGTGGCAGGTTGTGCTCCAGTAAAAAGGCAGAGAACAGACATTCCGCATTAATCACTTTTTGGTCCTTTCTTTCCGAAGAAAAATTTAATTTTTTGTTTTTTTCGAAACAACTTATGCTGTCCTTGTGTTTTTGTGTATGCACATGTTTGAGAACATTCGCCCTTCCACCATGCGAAATAGAAAAATCGCAACGACAGACGGTACACACTGCAAATTTATTACAGTTCCTTGAGTAAATAATGGAAGGAAAGTCAACTGTGTACGATTTTTGAAAGGTACACGAATATTTCACCTTACTCGCAGTCACAACAAAAGATGATAATTTCTAAAACTATTTCCGAAGGGACGTGTACTCACACAACTCAGGACAATGAAAAAGTAAAGAAAGAACATCCAAATAAAAGCCTTGAGCTTGCTTTGTGCTCATTGTCTAATATATGCCAGATGACATGCAGTGGAGCTCGATGCCCATTGGAGAACTGCAGAACAACGTTTCTGGATACATATGCTCTCACACACAAAGCAGAAATTCTTATCTGATTTGCAAGGTTTTGTTTTAGATATAATCTAGAAAAATTTCAATTGCTTTCAGATGTCCAAAATCACTTTTTTTTTCCTTCTATATTACAAAGTATTAAGCCAAGTTCCATAAAAATCGTGAGAAATTTCAAGAATAAGAAAAAGTCGGGAGAAATATATAGTAAATCAGGTTGGCAGAAAAGTGGTTGAAAATCGGGAGTCTTCCCCCTAAATCGGGAGAGTTGGCAACTCTATAATACATATACAGTCAAAGTCTTTAATCCGGAATCATCGGGACTTCGGCGATTCTGGATTATCGATCATAAGTTTAAATCTGGTAGGATGGCATGCAGAAATTATAAAATTAAAAATATGAAACCGTAATTTATGAAATAAAGAGCAATTATGATCTAAAGAGTACCAAAATTTACCCCCCCCCCAAAAAAAAGCTTAATATTTATTTCTTTACTTTATTAAATATTTCTTTCAACGTGCGCATGCGTAAAGCACACATTACGCATAGTCGAAATTAGAAAATTGCAACCAAATAACTCTTTGATGAGTACTCACAATATTTATAATGACGAGGAATTTGATTTAAATCACATCAAAGATGGAAGACATAGAGATAAAATACTACATTTTGTAAGGAATTATAAGCTGAATAAAATAAAAGCATCTGCGATGAAGATAAGGATAGTGCTGACAGATCAACTTCCACTTCATTGCGCGCCGCAACGTAAACGCTTACGCGCATGCGTGAACGCATTATGCGTTGATGCATGCGCAGAAAGTTTGTAGCTTTGAGGCCCAGATTATAGATCATTCCAGATTATGGGTGTCCGAATTAACGACTTTTGACTGTACTACTAGTACCAATGATGTCCATATATTATCAAACTCCTCTTTAGGGAGATCTTACACTGTTTCCAGATTCACAATTTGTTTTGAAGTACCTGGTCTTTAAAGTAGTGCAATCTGATAAATTCAACAGTAAATTAAAAATTTAACAAGATGAAATTTCTTAGAGGAATCTGGGCATTTTACACATTTCCAAGCGAAATTCTCCGAAACACATAAAAACATTCACTGAATTCCAAGTTTTTCTAAAAATTTTACAAATATGCAAATCATTTATAATACAACAGAGATGAGAATATAAAAACTACTTACTGCTCCCAATATAATAGCCATAGAATACTTCATTGGAAGTTTTGCTGCAAGCCCATAAAGGCTATTTTGATATATGCCATTAGCCACTACAATAAATAATAATGAAATATAGCATTTAAGTAACTATTATCAAAACTAAATAAGAAAATATAATAACACATTCAGAAATTATCTTTACTATCTACATTATGAGATACACATTTTAATAAGAATATGGTTGCGTTCTACGGGTTCACGGATTTGGAGTGATTGATGACAACACTTGATGAAGAATCAAAACACCATTCATCCATCAGTATTGCACAGGACAGTTTCAAAGATGCATTACAGGCACGAAAAAATTATGATAAACATGCTCAAACAATCAGCAACACAGCCTTCAGGCTATAACAGTGAAAACAGCTTCACAGCAAAGCACTAAGGTACAGCCCCCTGACTCGGCCGTTTGCTCTCAAGCTAGTCTCTGAACTCAAAGCACTACTACTGAACTCAACACACTTAAGATACTCTTCACGATAAACTCACTCTGCTACTCTGCGCAAAGGCACCGTTTATATAGCTTTTAACCTGCATTCAAGAACATTCTGGTGAAAACTAGCAAGAATTCATTCTAGAATGTTCTCATTCTGTCTACAGGATATTGCAAATTTTGTTGCCAAATGGGTGATTTCGTGCCCAAATCTCGCAACCCTGCCTTTCCTTTCCACTTTCTGGTAACCCTAAATATGTATTGCAGGGAAGCTAGCTTACCGCAGCTGGGCATTTTACAACAATATATATATATCCACAGAGCATATGCAGTTTTAAAATCGCTTCCAGTAACAAAGAACTAAAAGATAGGCTTACTAAAAAGATTTATGTTAGACATAACTATGTGCAAAATATGTCACTTACTTACTATCCATTAACAAAACTAATGGACACTTTTCATAGATACTTTCATGCATAACATTTATTGGTCCTAGATTTTAATGCATCTAAAGAGATATTTAAAAATGGAGAACAGCAGCAGACATCCTTTTCAGAAGATCCTAAAAATCCAATTAGGTAGAAAACTGCAAAATGGGAAACATTTTTAATACAATACAAAAGTCTGCAATCAAGAATCAATTGGTACTTCACCAATTCCAGATATTTAGATCATCGTTTAAATCTAATAAGATGACATGTAGACATGGCAACAGTGCAGCTTCAAAAACTGAAGGCTGAAAATGTGGTTACGGAGGCCCTTTCCTAGTTAACAGGCATTTGAATGTCAATCAGAAAAATCTCATTGATGACACACCTGCTCCCTTTTGTTAAGTATTTCTCTATTTCTGCTGTTGGGGCAAAGATCCGGATATTACATCATTCTAGAGATTGGATGCACAGAGTTTGGACTTCATACAGTATTGACAATGAAAATATGTCTATTGATGTAAAACGTTAAATTATTCTTTAGTGACCATCAATATGTAATGAACCAGGATTCTATTTTACTATTATCCTTTATAATGAATGATTACATAAGTTATGTTTACAGTTTTGCTCTTTCTTGTATTACACATATTTCTATTCTGATGATCACTTTATAAAATATACATAATTAGAAACTAAGTTATGTTTACAGTTTTGCTCTTTCTTGTATTACACATATTTCTATTCTGATGATCACTTTATAAAATATACATAATTAGAAACTTGATCATTCTCTCGAACTAAAAATTCTGATACTAAGAGAAATCATAAAAGCAAAACAATTCAAAGTAGCATATAATAAACATCTAAATAGAAAACTACAACATATTTCTCAGGGTACTATACTCACAGGTTTAATGTATATTCTATAATCATGAAAAGTAATACATTCTGTTAGGTTTGAAAATAAAAGTTTTTAACAATAAAAACGTTTCTGAAATGAAAATCTTCCTGTTTTAAATTGCAAAAGGTGAGCTTTGCTCCATATACACAATGATTGATCAATTTGTTAACTGATTAAAGCACTGAATGTTATCTGCTAGAGGGGTGAGTTACCTTCAAAGAGGCTATTCTGGTAGAAACTGGCTCACATTCAGTTTGGTGTAGTTAATTTGATTATGGCAAAGCAGCTTACGGCTATCTGCTTAAGGAGGGATTTCATGGTGTTCTTTATGAGAAACTGGCTTGTTGCCATGTTACACAGGAGGAAAAAATGTTCATGCCACTAGCCCGCTCACCTGGTATCAAACCCAGATCAAACTACCAGTGTTCAGTAACTTTACAGCTCAGCTGCCAGTAGGGTCATTCACATTACATACATGGAAAATCATCATAATGTCACACAGCCAGCCCATCTACCAACTCAGATCACAAAACTACCAGTGTTCAGGGGTCTTATCCAATCCATAGTATTATCCATTATCTAAATAGGAAATATATTGTAATTTCTCCTTGAAGTTTAAAAATAAACTGCATTCAGCATCTGAGGACATAACTGTGTCATCAAAAAGGATCCTTACCTGGAAACATCGACGTCTTGTCTAGAAGACCCTGCCCAAAAAGCTGCCTATATTGTACTAGGATCGAAGCAAAAAATTAGCTGCTGAATCCAGTTGCAGGACAAGTTACAACTTCAACATCGTCTGATCAAGAATATGGAGTGATGAAGTATGGAGAGGCAGTTGAAAGATGGTAACATTAAACCCATAACTGATTTAATGGAATCTTCAAACAGGAAATCTACCTGGAAGGGCATTTCTATCTACAGTCCTTTGAAAAACAATATTGGGCTCACTGGAATTCACTTCATATTCAAAACGATGTCTTGTACCGGAAGTTCTATAGGATAATGGAAAGAGATTCCGATGGCAGCCGGTACTTCCAAGATCCTGGGTCCCGGACGTTCGTAAACGATTACATAGCAGTCCAACAGGAGAACACTTTGGAATAATGAAGAGGTTACATAGAGTACAAGAGTGCTTCTACTGGACTTAATGCAAAGGAAGACATGCAAAAGTGGTGCTAATCTTGCAATGCCTGTGGGGGTCAGAAAAAAACAAAGAAATGCAGCCGAGGCAGGCTCCAATGTTACTATGTAGAAGCACCTTTTGAATGCATCCCCCTTGACTTCCTGGGTTCTCTGCCACAAACTGCTGATGGCAAAAAATACATCCTGGTTGTTACCAACTGGCATGATTACTTCACCAACTGGCGTGAAACGCATCCTATTCCTGATCAAGAGGCTGTCACGGTAGCAGAGGTAATGATATAGCACTAGGATTTCCAGGTTCAGAATGCCTCTTCAGTTTCATTTCAATCGAAGAAATTTTGCATCAGCTGTAATTAAAAGAACTCTACAAGCTACTTGGCATCGACAAAACCCAAATAACACCCTTACATCTCCAATCAGATGACATGGTAAAGAGGTTTAATTGAACCATCCTTATAACCTCTCGCTTTATGGTGGTTTCCAGAAACTAACAGAGCTAGTTACCTCCATTTTTTACTGGCTTATCGCAGTGCTGTCCACAAGACTACCGGCTATTCCCCATCCCAGATGCTGGTTCTTCCAATGTGTCCCATTCACTTGGAAAACATGCATTAACTGCTTCTCCAAGCTGGAGGTAAAATTTGCTAGAATGCTCCTACCTCTCGGGAGCAAGGCAAATGGGGAGACTTCCCGTACTATACTGCGCGATTGCGCGGTTTACTTAATTTTAGTTACTGCTCGCTGGACTGTCAGCGAAACAATCGCGCTGATAGACGTCCCAAAAAATTAGATAGAACTGTACAAGATACAGAAATTATAGACAAATACGGACAACGTTATCTGATGCTGTGTATTCCAGAAATATCATTCAAATGAAAACTAAAGTTAGACATGTGCATATCGGCTTTTGCGACAAGGGATTTGGTACTTTTTGAATGATTTTTTTTTATTTAAGCATTTTTATCTACTTGTTATGAATATTATTAAATGGTTTTGTAAGACAAAACAATTTTAAGCTGAAAAAACGTTTTTGCCAGTAATTTTTTTTTAATTAAAACTTTTGAAGAAAAATTTTACAATTAAAATGTCTTTCTTCTACAATTTTCAATGTCTCCCCCCCCCAGTTTTTTTATTGTATTTATTAGTTTTTAATAACTTCAAGAAATGATTTTGCAATTAATGAATTAGTTTCTGAGAAAAAAACAAAAATACACTTTTATCTAAAATCTTTAAAACAAATATGACAGTCACATTTTCATTTCTAATAATTTTCTTTTCAGTATTTTGCAAAACCCATCATTATTTCTATAAGGTATATAATTTTAAATAAGCAGTAAAAATAATATAGTCCATACCTGTATATGTTTTAGAACATTAAGTAAAAGGATTTATTGAAAAAATGCAAAAGGCTCCTCAGTTTGCATTTGCAGTTTAAAGAATACAAACTGTCTAAATAAAAATTAAATCATTTCAAATTTCTTTAAAATTGTATTACTGAATTTCAATACACACATATATATACATATAAATCAAACCTAATGCTATTTATTCAATTGGTAAATATAAACATAAATTACAAATCTTTTTTTTTAAACCTTATCTGGCCAGAAAAAAAGCAAAAAAAAATCATAAAACGCAAGCAGAATTTTTGTTTACCTGTTTTTGTTTTGTAAAACACCTTCAAAACAATTTTAATACATCAATTAATTATAATATTGTTGCGTGCATACGGGCTCGTAATAGATTGATAATAGTACTTAAATGATCGTCATTGCACTCAAATCCGATGATAGCTTAATTTAATTTATTTTATCAACAGAAACACTTCAAAGTTCTGGAATTTTACACAGAAATACTTGTACAAGTGTTCGGAATACCACTAAGTTATCAGTAGTAACTCTTTAATCTAATAAAAACATTAAACACAACGCAATGCAAAATGCATCTTAAGAGAAAGTTAACACAGAAATATCTCCAATCTCACGCTGAACTAACAACTGGCAACAATAACAACTTATATAATACAAATAATGTCATAAAAATAGTGTGGTATAATGAGATTATTACTTAAACTGATGTTCTGAATTGATGCCCACGAAGAACCAATATTTCCCATTCTACTTCATTGCACATCTTTTAAAAAAGTAAAAAACATCCAATTAATTTCCTTTATCATTTTTTTTAAATGCGAAAAGTTTCTTTTATAAACTGCGAAAATGTCGGAAATTTGTAACTGATATATTTTTAGATATGAAATTTTAAAATTAATGGGCATCAAGAAGTCTAAAAATATGAACAATTTTCAAAAATTCGCCCAAAATATTTTTTTTAAAAAATTACGCTAAAAATTTAATTTTTTTCCCTCCACTGTGTTTTATGCTGCAAACTATAATATTCCGAGATTCTCAGTTTATTTGTTAATATTTGCAAAAATTCGTTTCAACTTTAAATTTGAAAAAAATCTAATCCTCTAAAAATCAAAAGCGTGACACCACATCCACAAGCAGTGTATGTACAAAGTTTGAGTTCTATATCTTATCGAGAAGCAGTTTAAAAATCCATGAACATCTTTTACCCATAGCGACAAGCATCAAGAGTGAACTCAATATCAGCTTATAAAATAATAATAATTAAAAAGCATATATTTTTCAGGAACCATTATGAAAGTTCAGGTACCAGTTGCGAAAGTACAGATTACAAAATTAACAACGGTAAACAACGTTAAAAATGTGTAAACAGTATTAGAAATCAGCCAATTCAGAGACGTGATTGTTCACAGAGGTTTAAGTGTAAAGGGAATGAAGACGGTGGTCTTCTGAACGGGTCCCTAAAGACAAAACTCTTTCATGTCTCCTTTTTCTCCTCTTGCTAATGGCAGCTGTGCGGAGGAGCATTGCATGTGAACAGGGTTTTACTCTCCAGCCGCTGGAAACCTAATGCTTTGATAAAATAACACATACAAGGAAATTAATATAAAAAAAAGAAGTAAAACTCACTATTAATTACAACAACAGATGCCATTGTCATGTAAAAAAAAGCACCAGGCCCTGGAAAAAAATGCATATGTTTATAAGACTGTCAATTGATATAACAATTTGCTTGCTTTCTTATGAAAATAATATTAATTGCAAATTGAAATCTAATGAAAGATAGCAAAATTAACTGAAGAAATTGCAGTTTTGTTTAGATACATCAGGGGAAATGAGATTAAAAACTTAAGTCTTTTCAATTGTAGCATATTTAAAATAAAATACTCACATGTTGAAGAATCCAACATTGCTAGAATGACAGTAATTATAAAAATGATGATTTCAACTAGAACGCTGCCAATAATTCGGAATGTTAAATTTCCTCCGCTACAAGGGAGAAAAAAAGACTAGTACTTTGAAAAGCATTCAATCAGTTTAATTTTCATGCAGATAAATAATAACTAATAAAACATTTTACACAGATAACACATCCATTTCATGTTATATTACAACCAAATAATTAAATATCAATTTTTTACTATAATTATTCTTCAAACAAAAGATGATCTTAATTTCCGTCAAGCTTGAAACAATATCCAAGGAAAATCTGAGAGACTGAAAACTTCCAATTTAGCAAAAAATATTTGTGTACAGATATTAAAAAAATAAAAATAAATAACACATAAAATATTTTTTAACACCTGACTCAGAATTTATGGACTAACTTAGACTAAGGCCTGAATGTAAAAACAGATAAACAAAAATTTAAGAGGAAGGTCAGTAAACTTTCGGGGCTACAGGTACGCAAGTGTCTAAAAATTGGTACTTAAGAATGTTGTGAACATAAACAATGCTTCCTAGAATAAAGTTGCCATATGTTGGCACTTAATTTTGTGGCTTAAGATTAGCAAAGAGTGTCTCTGTCTAATCTACATATAGAGCTTTATTTAGAGCTACATATTACACATACAAATTTTGAAACTTTGAACATCAATGTCAAGCAGATGTGAAGGCTGTTTCACCATGCAGAATGCCCCAGATTGTGGAAAATACAGCAGAAAAGGTGTAAATAAAAAGTTACAAGACACCGAGATCAATGATGAGTGGGTTCAGATGCTATCTGTCTGCCCAGTGTTGCAGACCCACCAAACAACGCCTTCAATAAACTGACAGAATTTGTGAGAGGATCCAGACATTTTAACACATGCTGAAGTTTCTCGCAAGATGCTAAATGAGAAAAGGCTATATGGGCAGCTAGCACATCTGCTTACAGCTCCTTAGCTTATAACTGCTCATTATTTGCCAACTTTGATGATTTTTTTATAATTTTTATGAAATGTTAGCTTAGTGTGTAAAATTTACCAATTTAAATTAACCATGATTATTTTTGCTTCATAAATATCTTATCTGACATAGCAAAGGCAAAAATGTCAGGGAAAATGCATATTACTAAAGAACCATAGCTAGGTACCAAACCAAATAGTCAAGAACCATAGCTACCAAAATGTGTTTGAAGTAAATTATTGAGAACATCTTTATTTTTGTTTACATGGTTGTTTACAAATTTCTGTTGCTGTTGCTTTGTATTCAGGAAATTAAAATTTTTATAACATATATGACGAATACAAACCAGTTTCCCTTAAATGTCATCCATGAAGACAACCCTCCCATAAGGCATAGCCTTCATGTTTTTTGCCATATCCAGATAACCATAACCTAAGATGTATAAGTTTTAATCTCTTCTATGCTGCATTGAAAAATAATCTCAAGCATTTTCTTGCAATTTCCAGCTACCCCCTAGCTATTTAAGTTAATGTATTTTCTCATAGCATTCACATTTTCTTAAAACACTTTCTACCTTTGTCTTGAATTTCTGATTTCTACATCAAAGCAATAAATAAGCAGTTAAATCTGAATAGGGCCCTTGTAACCTGACAGCTTGTGCATTTGTAGACTCTAGGTTTTATACAGGCAGGAATAACCCTTTGTTCACTTCTGCATAGTCTAAAAGACAAGACATTCAAAGCCTATCATAATGCTTTGTATGAAGAATCTTTAATATAAGAATGACTAGTGAGGAAGAACTATAATTTCTCATTTAACAAGGAAATCAAATCTTGGAAAAGCCAAAAATGTTATGTAGAAATTCCTGTACATTCCCTTGCTGTGTACATTACAGCCCTGAACAATATGGTAGAAATAAAAAGAACACTAAATGTGCTTTATTTTTTTATTATTTTTCAGCATGAAATGCAGAAATTTTTTTTTTTTATTATTTTTCAGCATGATGTTGAATTTCAAAGAGGGAAACATAGCTTGAGAAGTACAAAAAATTCAAGAGAAATGAAATGTTAAAGATTTCTTAGAAGTGGTTACTTCAATAGCAATATATAGGGACTAAGAAATCATTACCAGATCTTGCAACCACAATTTAAAAAAAATCGTAAACTTAATCAAAAAATTACCAAAAGAAATAACAAAAGATATACCACATAAAGTACAGAAAGTTTGAAAACTGGAAGATCCAGCTGAGAAAGAATAAGAATGCATGCAGAACTGATTTGAACAATCTGTAATCAAAGAGTTGCAGTTAAAAGTTCAATGCTGCTGCAGATAGCCAAAGAGTTTGCAAAGGAACTTAGCAACAATAGCAAAAAAACTGAAAACTAGCTAGTGTTAAGTCAAAAATTTAAAAAGTAGGTGGATTTTTAAATTCAGAATGCTTTGCATCAAAAGTCATAGACTCCAACCTTCAGCAAACCTTGTCAGTAGTCAACGCGTGAACGACATTTTTACAACTTTGAAAATGTGCGCGTAGCGTATGTTGTAATTAACCATTCATTATTGTAATTATTGTTGTAATTAACCATTAATAATTAATTGTAATCAATTTTATTACATTTAAAATCCATATACATATAAAACTGAATAATTAAAAATATACCTTGTAAATTATATGCACATTTAATTAGAAATTTTCTTTTAACTCCTCAAGCATTCACTAATAAAAAGTACTTCAAATCACTACTAATCATAGAAAAAATCAGAAGCTATAAATCATATCTTTATTCTGGATATGATTTCTACAGGGAAATAAAATTTAAATAACCAAGAATGATACATATAAAGTATTAAACAAAATACGCATAATTTATGAATGCAAAGATTTATATGTAGCATGCTTAGCAAGCTTAAGTTCTGATTTTGAGAATGTTTTTTTTATAACACAGTTCTTCATTTGCCTGCATATTTATTTTTTCAATCAAAACTGCTTCAAGAGTTTTAAGACCTAAATTTGGTCGAAATTCCGTCTGATTTTTTTTAACAATAGAAAAAATTCTTTCGCAAGCTGCATTTGAATGAGGTATTATTAAGACAGCAAGCATTACAGGAAGGCAATACTTTGTATTTAATACACCCATTCATATTTTTTAATTTGGCAATTTCTCCCCATGCTATATCAATACGCAAATCTACAATTTCTTTCAAATCATCTACTTGATACATGGAAAAATTCAATTTCTACTTGATTAAGACATTTTTCATCAATAACGGATGGAAAAGTATTCATCAAGTAAAGAACAGATGAAAATGAGACTTCAGTTCTCAAGTTGATGTCAGCAACTTCAGCATGTTTTAGAAATGGATCACTCAGTGGAAATTTATCAATTATATATGAACATGCAGTTACAAAAAAAGATTGCACAGAATTGAAAAATGATTTCACTTCACTTTCATTCAACTTGGCATTTTTTAAATATAGTCTTGTTTCCGCACCAATCACTAAATTTTCATTTTCTTTTTGTTTACTATACTTCTGAAATGGAATAGACGTTAGAGTAACATCTTCATTTTCTTTAGAAATTACTGATGGTTTTACGAATCTAACAAATAAATTCATTAAAAGTTCAAAAAGTTCTCTTCTCAATTTATGTATATAAGGAGCTTGTTGTTGCAAATTAATATTTACTGTTATAAACAAAGGCAAAGTATTTTTCAAAAATAACAAGTACAATTTGGTGGTCGGTGACTGTAAAATTTTTTTAATGTTTTGCAATCTCTTTCCTTCATTCTCACTGTTATCTGGTTTATCTCCAAAAAAAATTATCACAGCATCCCACTGTTCCAAAATCCTTGTTATAGATTCTAAAAGAGACAACCATCTCGTACTGCAATATTTCAAAATTTTATGAGATTTTGCATTCTGTCCCAAAATTTGTTGAGCAACTTTGAAGCTATGCTTCCGTTCGTTTGAACTTTTCTCCAAGTAAAAATATATATCTATTATCAACATTTCAATTTCTGAGCCAATTAATTTTTCAGTAGCTTTTTTTGCAGCTATATGCAAGAGGTGTGGCACGGACAACCTCGGGTGATTATACTTGGTTGATGCATTTTGATAAATGATGCTACACCTTTAAAACTTTCCAATCATATTACTAGCATTATCTGAAGAAAATGATAAGCAATTTTTCCATTCTAAACCTTTGTTTTTAAAGTTTTCATTTATACAATTAAAATACCTTCTCCTGTATTATTCGTGCATTCTAAAATAGAAATCAATGAAGTAATTATCACTCCCTTTTCTTTACTGTAGTATGTTATAACCAATGGGTACAGTTTGTTATCATTGTTATCAGTACTTAGAGAAAATGATGTACTGCACACTGATTTTATAATATCAGCAACAGTATTTTCTGCAAGCGTTTTCACAATAGCAGCAGTTTTGGTATGACCGCAGCTAAATTTTTTTGCTATTGCAGAATCCGGAAACATTGCTTTGAAAAGCTCTTTGGAATGATCCGAAACAGAAAGCGGTAGATTATGTTCAATTAAAAAACGAACAAAATAGCATTCGGCTTTTATAGGATCTGTTTCATCATCTTTCATTAAGAAATTTGTTATTTCTTTAGATTTTACGGTGCCAAGTTCTATATGCTTTTGAGAAAACACATGCCGTTTACAGTCATCTTTTCCGCCATGAGCAACTGAGAAGTCTTTGTTGCATATACTGCAGTGTGCGTGATTCACAGAAATTTCGGACGCTTTAATGCATGGAAATTCTGAAGAATATGAATCTTTAAACTTCTGCTTTGATAATTTTGGCTTCTTCGTTCGAGGCAGCATTATGATTAAAAATCTTTCACCTGATTCACAGTTCACAAGACACACGCTAAGCTCTCGCCGTAAACTACACAATGCAGCTGAATGCAGCCTAAACACGCATCAGCGAGGAACCTGGGAGACAGACAATTGGGTGGAACTATTGATAAGTCGTTAACGGTTGGAGTTACTGATCTACAATTGGCTAATTCTTCAAAACTAGGAACGCGTGATATATGATAACACGAGTATTCAGCCAATCATCGGATGAATTAGTTGGTTCC